TAAACTGCAGGTGTTTGCAAGGTGACGTTCAGTGTATATCAATGTGTGAAGAGATTGATGTCATTTACTGCACGGATGTTTGGAACTGGAAAAAATGCATCCAAGTTACGGAAATAGTTATGTTGGCGTAGAGTGAAAGCTTGCTAAGGGTTTACAACATTTCCTGGGAAAAATTTTAATCTTGAAGACGGTGAACGTTCGCATACGTTCGTCCGTCTCCAGCAAAACCGTTCGTGGATGTGATCTTCGATTTGTGCTGGAAGATTCTACCGTTTGCAGATTATTCTTCATATCTGCCTCCTACTGATTATCACTTCAGCGCGTCGATGGAACCGCCTTTAGCCGATCATTAGCTCTGCAAAGTTGAAGTTGATTATTCCGTCACTGAAGCACCAATTTCCAACTGCGAGTAAATTCGCAAGTTGCAGAATAAGAGGTAAAAGACTACAGGCAATGAAGATGAAAATTTCGAGCTTTTTATTTTTGAGCTTTGTAATAAACATTATTATTATTGTTATTATTAAAATATAAAATGGCTTCTAGCTTTACTGAAAAGCCCATTGCACTTCACATTCGAACCCACAAACTACTCGCCCAAAAAATACAAAGAATTTATTTGCACACCTAATATTAATATCTGATCTTGTCGACGCAGCACATTTTACACCCTTTTTTTTTGCAGCTTAGTTTTCCGAATAAAATCTTGGAGTTTTTAACCTATTTCAAAAGCGTTTGTACATACTTTCAGGTGGTCTTTACGAGAGTTCGTTAAGTATTCGCATTTATATGGACTAGGTTTTTTGAATCCATGTATAATATGACGATTCTATATATGGAGCTCTGCTAATTATTTAATATCGCTTTGTGAAGGCCTGGAAAAAATTCTCTTTCGGTAGATGGTCTTTGCTAATTAAATTTGAATTTACCTTCACGTCTTCAAGTAGACAACTCAAGTCACATCAGTTTGGGGAATATATCGAAAGCACTTTGCCTCGTCCCAAGAGAAAGAAAATCAGTCAAAAGGACGAATATGATCACAAATAATCGGTTATCTAATATTATCTATGTAATCCGTGGCTGGTCTTACAACTAGAATCGCATAATTAGTGCACTTCTCTTAAAAATGGCTGCAAAAACTGTATAAAAAAATTACGATGTTAAGCACTAACTAACATTAAATCTCTCATCCCAAAACCCTTTTTAGGATTTTATTTTATCTCATTCTAGTTTATGTGATTTTATTTTATTTTTATTTTTTACGTTTGGAATTCATTATTATCCGTTTCTAAGTAATTAAACATATTTCTTTTTAATTCTATTTAATTTTCAACTGCATGCTATGGTCTGCTGTTTACTATAGAAACCTGAAAGTATGCTTTCATTAATTTTTCAGTTTTCCTTTCGGTTGATTTATTTTTGAGATTCGCTATTATTTCTTCTTCGGTTGCTTTTCTACTGCTATACGCTTCCGAGTAAAAATCTCATTAATGATATTTTGAACTTTTGCTTTATTTGACCATCAAAGAAATTGCTGCTGAGTTATTGGAATTTTTTCCTCTTTCCTTTTCCTTTTTTACGGTATCGTGCTTCTTTTTCCATTACCATTTTTTTGTTTATTTTTTTGCTTGTATGTAATTTTGATCTTTTCCTTCGAAAAACTCATTAACTTAAAAGTTGAACTTGTGTTAAATCAGAGCTTAACCATGTGAACATATAAAGAATTTTCGTTAGTTTAATTGTAGGGTGGCTAGTTGTTTTGTTTGTATTGTTGTTTATTCAGTGAATACGTTAACATTTGCTGTAAGCAGCAACGACCTTTTAGCCATTTAAAATAGGGGCTTTGCTCATACAATCGCGCACACGCAACCACAGTCATATAGTCAAACACTTGTGTGAGAATATTTACGTTCATTTACCTTAGTTAGTGGCTGAACGATACGGCCGCCTACTTATATTATGCTTTTTATTAGCCACCGACGGTGGTTTTTGTTTATTTAAATTTTTCTCCTCCTTACCTCTCTCCTGTGCTGTCTTCTGTGTGAACTATCCGGGAATATAAAAATTTATTTACACATCTAATTAAAACTAAAATTTGTTCGTTGTGCTAGGCGCTTTATAACAACAAAAAAAGGCACTGAATATTCTAAAGAGAAAGAACAAGAGATATAGACATATATATAAATATTTATACTATATACTATACTCCGTACTATATACTATACTTTTCCATCCTCCATTCTATGACGCGCTTGCCCTCTCCCTTCCCCCTTCGTCTTTACCACTTTTTTCATATTTGTCTACTATTTTTCTTTTACTCTTCGTATCACATACATTTAAATAGGATTTTGTAGTTTATTTTATAATTTTATGAATACGTGTATAATCGTCTTTAATCGCTTGCATAGACAGGAAGCGAAATATTCATTCTATTTTAAATGAAATACGATAATCAGGCAATTAATGTGCAGTTATGCTTAAACTTCCTGTAAAGTGAGTGAACATAAACCGAAATTCGTTCAAGATAACGGTAATACACGCATATGTATCCTGAAAAAAACGAGTCTAAATAAAAAAATTAAAGTATGTTGGACTTTTCCAAGTATTTTAAAGAAACAAACACAATATAACTGAATGTTTCATCGCACACGCAGACCTAATCTGGTTTCATGTTCGGGTAGTTTAGCTGACATAATACTCGTAATATGTGTGGTTAACATTTGTGAAAAATACCGCTTTCGTGTTACTCTACGATATGAAAAGGAAAACATGTTTTACAGCGCAACACGTAAACCTCATGCAGATAACGATGTTAACAAGTTCAACTAAGTAATAAATGTATAAATATTTATAAAAAAAAGTACAAGAAAGAAAACTATATTTGGATCGAGACGAATTATGAAAACCAGATAAGAGATGTTTAAGAATGTGTATGTAAGGATTGCAACATGTAACAATAATATGGCAACTACGACGATGGAGATACACTTACAATCTTTTTGCTTACAAAAAATGGGAAGTCTTGGACAAACATAATTTCTTGCTCAGGAAATGCCCGCATTGAGACAAAGATGTCGTCTCCAACAAAAAGGTTATTCCGCTTTTAGGAAGGACTGAGCATCAAACGACGCTTAACAAGATTTTACGTCATTTCGATCGTTTCTTTAAGAGTTAGAACAGTTAGAACAGCGTAGTGAACAATTAAGGAGGCGGAGGGTATAACTTTAGGATTGTGGTGGGGGTAAAGACATTGTAGTGTGATAAGGTGTCTGGCATACGCTGAGCGGGTTATTTCCGCTTGTACAATAAATCCAAGAGGGGGAATAGTTTCGTTTGTCCATTTGTTTTCATTAATCGATACCCAATCCTCTGCACATCCTCTTCTCCCATCCATCAATCATGGTATTCGTGTGTCCTTCCCACCTATACCAATTCATCTGTAATTATCACTCTCTCTGTCTCTCTCTCGATATGTTCACCCCTCTGTCTGTATATTCGCTTTGCCATCCACCATTTAGTCGGTCACGAATGTTCTGCGCTAACTTTACTCTTAATTCTACGTTTCCTTTGTTGGATTCATCTGTATGTTTCTCTCTCCGTCTGACGCCTCAGTTGTCCTTCCTCTTACCTTGCGCTCTTTTATTCGCCGGTGTTATTTCAATTCACACTTCAAAAGGCTGTCTCTTAATACGTCGTTCTTCCCATCTGTTCCTTCATTCCTCCATTTGTCCATTCTTCAAGTCGTTTAATTTTAGATTATCTACTTTTAACGTAATGCAAACGACTCAGAATGAAATCTTGGTATCAGTCAGGTCACCTGGCACTCCCACAGTAAATTTTGCAATTTTTAAATGTTTGCTTAAGATGACGGGTGTCAAAGATTCGCCTCGAAGGGAATAAAACTTTTATTTGCTGTACTTGTTCGTTCCGCTTTGTTTGTCCGATTTTCATTTTCAATATATTTCCGAGTAGAACGAACGGTTTTGAGACAATTTTTTCTTAATTAACAAAGTTTGTCTGATAAATTTTGATTGTTCTTTTTAGTATTTCAATACGTTCTCCATATATTAACTAATTCGAGCACGAATCTTTCCTATTAAAGCTTTTTTTTTGTAATCATAACATAATCATGAATTGTGTATGTAAATGTTTTACGCATTATTTTATTAAAACTCTTTTAGATTTTCTAGTAATTTTCGTTTTGCTTTTTTGTTTAAGAGATTTTATTTTAAGCATTTCTTAGAAAATCATGACAAAAACCCATTAACAACAGTTTATATTTAATCCGCTTACAGTCATAAAAGAGAGATATAAGCTCTTTAACATTAATGTTTTAATGACAAAGGTAATGGAGAAAATGTTAAAAATGTTAACGCTTTTGCAAATGGAAATGAAAAAATCGAATGATTCTTACGTGATTTATGTGATAAGCATAACATTGCGATAGACGCACCCTCGACCAAAAAGATGGAATGTGACATTTCTATTGAAAAAGTGTGGATTTGTTGTCATACCGACATTTTCGGCTTTAATTGAATTAAGTTGAAATTTTCTTTTTCTTTAGAAAAATTGAAGTAATTGATGAACACTGTCGTGCCACAATTTTATACAAACTTCAAAACGCGGGCAAACCTCGCTGATTAAATTCAGGGGAAAGACACTGCCTCGCATTGAGTGCAAATGTATCCTTATTTCACAAGCAAATTCAGAGAAGAAGAGCATCGGAAACCAGGTGTAGTAAAAATAAGATAAAACACGATTTTTCTTTACTATAAATATTTTGACTTTGATGTATTCGGAATTGTAAGAACAAGGCTAGTCCATTGGTAATGGTCTCATGTAAAGTTTCTTCGGATTCATAAAGTTAGTCTAGTTATTTTCGCTAAAATCTTGCGGAGAATTATATTCTTTTTTATCCTGGATTACGTTCTGTTTTCTGTTATATTTTATGTACAACGAATCTTACCATGACGCGACGCTTAGTCACCTATGTGAACGACGGGAATAATTAATTGTTGTGTTGTTTTAAAGTTCAAAATTATTTACTTATCCAAACGGTTCCAATACAAAGAACAAGGTAGCTGGACGGACAGCCAAGCTTAAATCGGTTCAAAAACTGGTTTTGAACGAACGTGATGAAAGCTGGGCCTGTCTCAACACCTTCTGGATGCTGTACACGTCGGCATAAACTTCATGTACCCTTCTACCATGAATGGTGTACTATGTAAGTGAAATTATTTTTATTTACTTGGGTTTATTAATGAAACGCAATTTATTTTTTATTATTTTTTAATTAATTTAACAATTTATTTCTTAATTTTGGTTTGGAAGTTGTTGTTAAATGGATAGTTGATAAAGAGACTGACTTTTCTTATCGATTTATAAAACAGAAAACCTCGGTTTAACCAATAATCCACAGTCAGCATTTATTTTTATTATAGGGTGAAATGAGATATGAGATGGGAGATGTTTACGGTAGGGTGCCATTGGATATCGGTGAGAAGTGTTTACGTTAACTTTATATGAGAAGTGTTTATATTAACTTTATATGACACTTTAGGTTTGTTTATTGTAATTGTTAGGGTGGTTCGTAAGTTTGTTTTTTTTATTAGGGTGGTCCTTAACTTGTACAATACAATATATTTTATTTCATTATAACTTAATTCAATACTATAATCAAACGTACTCTGTGCTTGATGAGTATGCACGTATGTTTTTTCTTACATATGGCAATAATTTTTGTGAAATTTCGATGAAATTTGGTAAACTGACATGTTTTGGTTGAAAAACGAATGCTACTGCAAATGATTCGGATCGGATCTGAAAAGTTGTTATGTTAATAAACGCGTGATGTTAAGCGAAGTGGCGCGTGGTGTTTAATGACAAGCCGTGACCCGTTACAGTGCTTTTATTTGTTTGCTTTCGAACATTTTTTTGTGGGTACATGTGACAGCGACGCTGAGTGTCACTTTTAGTTGATATGTTATCTAAGTGGACTTCAACTTCCATACTGACGGATGGATGGCTAAGAATTTTATGCATGCACCAGCTGCAACTTAGTCGAGTATTGAGTGCTGGAACGATGTACGTTTAGTACCGCGATGTACTGAACTAAACTTGAACCAAACGATGAATTTATAATATGCATATTCCACAATGTAACGTAGTAATATAAAGCGTGCTGTGAGTTAGATGGTGGCTTTGCAATACATATTTTGGGCAAAGAGGCTATTTTGATATCATGATGAACTCCAAGCATATGAACAATTACCTCTTCAGCATTAATTTACAGTACAATAAAGAAAATTTTAGGAAATGTTATATGAAACCATCAAACATATATAGAATAGAAATGTCAAAGGAGACTTCAGGATTCTTTGCGGTCTGATTGAGGAGAATATGAATTTCTTATCACTGCTATCACTACTCCTCACATATTAACTCTGTGCAGACGTATGTAACACCCACAAGGAGTTGAAATAGACTCACCTTTTATTACATCTAAGCCTATCTGTCCGTCTAATATCTGCTCATGTATTTTTTGTTCAAACCACATACAAGTCGTAATTTTTAGGATATTTTAGTGAAATTTGGTACGCTGACGTGACGCTAAGACAGGGATGAAAGCTATTGATAATGGTCTTATTTTGGAAAGTCGTTATATAGAAAAAATTGCAATTATTAAAATTTCTCTGCAAAAGTCGCTGGTAAATAGTATTTCGATATTCCGAATTGCTGGTTAAACCTTCATTCGGCAGGGGCAAGTTTCTGAAGCCGCGTTGATATAACCGTTCTTACGAAAACTGAATCTTCATATTGAAAATTGGTTCGTAATAGTAAATCGACAATAAAGTTTGGACCACGTAGGTCTATTTTTGGGATACACCGCATTTGGGAATTCTCAGGCTATGTAAATTCTTATTGGCCGAATGCGCCTAATTGTTTATGGTTTGTGATTAATATTGATCACGAGAGTAATTTGAAATAAAAGTGAAGTGAAACAAATTGGAACCACATGTGTCTATGTCTTGGATCCCAGTCCATATAAGATTTCTCATGAATAGTAAGCTACTCAGAAAAAGCTTTAATTTTTCTTATTTAATAATGAAAATTCAGCAAAAACTTTAATTTCCTTACTTAATGATGAAAATTTGGTCCATAGTAGCACATTAGCAAAGAAACTGGCAGTAGGGGCTTAAGCTTCCTTGTAAGATGTAAGCAGGCTATTAAAGTAACCTGTTTTAATCTTATTATACAATTTTCCACATTCTATGGACCACACTCATTTGCGGAACTTTAATACTTTACTATAATGACTAGGCTTACTTTATTACGTGCATTATTCTTAATATTTCATTTTCCCTAACTTGTGAAAATATTGTAGCTTTATTTATACTTCGACGTTCTAGAAATTTATGGTATACTTGCTGAGAAAGCTAACATCTAAAGCAGAGAGAGCACTTTGTTGATTTGTTTTCCTCTTCTGGTAGAAGAGTCTATTAAGTTTGTGCGGATGTACACAATACCAAGAAGAACTTAAGGTAGACCCGTCGTTGTACCCTTTTTGAAACGATCTCATTCTGTGCGTGCATCCGTCCGTCCGTCTTCGAGGTCGTAATTTCTTAAACCGACGTGCTTTGGCCCGAAGATAAACGCTGCTAGTAATGGTATGGAGAACTTTTCAACCACTTGCCATATAAAGCATTATTTTGAGAAATCACTGTATGAATAACTCTATTAGGCGAGGCGGTGTGGTATGTATAATTGTGTAATATTGTGTCATACTCACTTGTTCGTATTATTACTGTATATTAGTCTGCGTTATTGGAATCAATTTACCGATTACATTAAAGTTTATACAGTAATGTACTAATTTGTTTACTTTAATATCCAAATTACAATTACATTAATCGTAATTGTATTATAATTGTGTTATCATTCCACCTAGTTATATAATTCACTAAGCTGAGAATTCTTATTGGGGTTGAAATTTACCAAATGAAAAAAATCAAGTCAAATCGAATCAAGCAATTAAGTATTGCAACTGTTTAACAACTGTTTCAGTGGAAGACGAAATGATATTTTTGCTTCTTGCAAAAAGCTATATAACCATCCAAGAATGAGAGAAAGTAAAGAAGATAGATGAAGGCTAATAAAACTTGTCCGCATTCCCAACATGTAGTCCCTCTTGCTTCCCTGCAAAGTACATACGGAAGGCAAAACAGACAGCAAGTCATTTATTCCTGAGAAGATCCCAGAAGAGAAACCGCAAAATTGACGGTCAAATCACTCTTGGAGAGTTCTTGCCGCGAGTTTTGATAAATCTGCTTGAAATATACTTTGAATGGGCTCCGACTTTCACACTAATATTCTTTCTTTCATGGAATGCCGAATTTTGATATCAAAATTATTGAATTATTGTGCTCCCACTAGGCGTAAAATTAGGCGGTATTTAAATTGCTTACATAAATATAGGCTGTGGGGAAATAAATGTTTCAAAGTAAACTGACATTTAAATTTAAAGAAAATTAAAAAAATCATAGTAGAATTTTTTTTAATGCAATTATGGAAATTACAACGACATCGTAGTCCATTTTTCTAATTGAAAAGCCAAGCAGAAAATTTACATCTCAGCAATTTATTTTGTCTGTAAAGTTTAATTTCAAATTAACTCTTCAATTTCATAATAAATTTTCTATTCATTTTCATGACTTCCCGTTGTTTTCCTTCTTTCTTCCCTTTTTTTTTCTCGCAACAAATTTTATAAAAGAAATAAAACTTCATAAAGATACGGCAAACTTATCCATCAAAACTGTCAGAATAGTGGCCACAATTTCATAAAGAAAAATCGGGGGTTACAATGGAGAGCAGCAACAGTAAGGGCATTGGTAAGTAACAACAATACTCGGTTCGAGAAATCGAGAACAATAAAGTAAGAACAAGTCTGCGAGCGAGCAGCAAATAAATGAATGAACGTTGGGTGTCTGAATGTAAAATTATATGAATACACAATTGTGATACATATGTATTTATATATATATAAATGTATATATATATATATATATATATGTATATATAAATATATATATGTATGTTCGTTCACAGGTCTGTACGTCTCGCAATAGATGTGAATGGTTTCTAATGAAAATTTGAATTCCATACACAAGCATACACAAAAAACGCAACCAAGTGTAATCACAGAATAATAACTGTAAAATTTTCCTGTTCATAAACATGACGAGAATGCTATGAAAATCGCAAGCACAAATACGTACGTTTACATGTTTACATACGTACATACATATAAAAATACCAAAGTATATTGTCCGCATTTTGATATGCGGATCAACATTTAAATGGTAGTGAAACTAAACATTTTGAAAATATTGCTCCAGGGGTAGTATGTTGGAAAACTTGATCAGACAAAAAGACAATGGCTTCACAAATGAATGAGTGTAAGTCTTACAAGAAAAAAGAAGTGAAATAAGACGATAGGATGACGATGAGTGACGTATAACTGAAAATTAATAAAGCAAGCTGAAGATATCAAGACTGTTTGCTTAGTTACTGTAAGCAGTAATTTCGATAATAATTATTGGGCATGGTTGCTTCATGTCAAAAAAAGTCACTCAAAAATTGTCAAGAATTAATTTTCTGGGTCTTGCTTAATTACCATGAATTTCGTTTTAAAATAACATGCGGTTTACCCATATTGTCCTTAAACCAATTCTTGGCACTGCTAATTCTTCTGAGGGATTGCTTTAAGTATCTTCTTTGTATTTCCGTAATGGTATTATTGGGCTCAAAATGCCTTCAATCAAATCGAAATCTAAGTCTTGTGAACAAGCTAAACACAAAACAAGTAAGAGTATTGTTTTGCACCTGCGGTTGGATTGTTTGTATCTACAATCTTCATTTTCATAAACTCAAATAAAATGGAATTTTAGGTGAATTTGGCCGATTTTATTCACTTGTGCACAGATACTACAGGGCCAGCGCATGGATTGTACGAACTCTTATTGTTGTTGTGAGAAAAAAGTCCCGTTTTGGTGTGTTTGAAAGTAAAATTTTTCCCAGGCTATGTCGTATTGTAGGCATTTCTTTGGCCGATTTGGCTCCATTGCAATGCCGACATGGGCGCAACAATTTCTATTACCCTTTCGCCAAGTCAGAAACCAATACATTAATTTTTATGACCAGAAATCTTGTTACACATCGGTAGACAGAGATGCAGACGGGCGGAAAAATATACCTAGATCGGTAGTATATTAATTGTGTTGACGTCCCTGGCAGTCTTCAGTTTTTGGAGGATCCTGGCTTATTTCCATCGAGAAGAACTTAAGGCGATTTCGCTTTGTAGGGCACATAAACATACGAGGCTAACATAAGCGACCGTAACAAATAAACAAATCAACGACTTGCAAGTCCGCTATGTTTGGGCAAGTCCAACTAAAAAATATCGAATAAATTATCTATTTTTGTCATAAAATGTTTAAGTCGATCCAAATCTTCCATACACATTAAGTATTGCAATAATCTCTTCTCATGCATTTCCATTAAAGAATATTACAAAAATTTTCTTATAACAATAGAGAATTGTGTATAGAGTGGTCGTAAAGATGTTCCCATCCAGTCCATTTTCAACAAAGTCAAACTTTGGAGTAGAATATGCCGATCGAAAAAGTCCATCTGAATATTGAATGCAAGGATCCGTGTGGCGACATCATACTGAATCGTATAATATAATAAAAGCTGTGCCTGTTGCATAGATCCGAGCAAGCTTAACACATGTTTATCATAAGTGAAACAGAGTCTAAACGTAGTAATCCTTTTGAATGACATCGTTTAAGCTAACAGTTTAAATAAATACATCTGGACAAGTTTTCGACGAAGAGTTTGCTAACATAAATTTAACACAAATATTCTTGTAATCTGCTGATGCTAGCTTCTATTGACGATTTTAACAAATATTTCTTGCAATAATTAGCTTAAATCCTTTTTGAAGATTATTTCAAATTTAGAAACAATTACAACCTGTTAGTTGACTTGAAGACTATTGTCATTTTGTTTTAATTAAATTGCAACACTTAAGGGCTCACTTTTCCTGCATTCAAGTGTTTGCTTAGGATAACAACCTTACAAGAAATAGTAGAGCAAGCAGACAAAAGAAATGCTTAAGTGTTTGCACAATGACCATTTATTTAAATAAAGTTGGCGTTACACAAATGGCGGCTTCTTAACCAAGGAAAAAAAAGAAGAAAATTGCTTCAAAGATTACACACGACGTTTAGTTAGGCAGACTTTATTATTACGATGCCTTAAGCTCTAAGCCAATTGAATTACCTGGAGAAAAAAAAAACATAGCATACTTTTTGGGGGGTGAATAGAGGTTAGTACTATAAGATTTGAAATTACTAGAAGGGAGTTTATGGGTTTGTGAGCGAAGAAATTTGATACTAAAAATTCAAGTCAAGGTAAATCATGACCAAATATCGCGCAAACATTAGAAATTTAATGGAGCGCAATTTCTTAAAGAGCGCTTTTTCTGCCTTTATGGTCTAGATAAACCCTTGTCAAGCACTTTATATTTAATTAAATATACGAAATGAAAGCAATTTATTTTAATTAAACGTAAAATTAAACTTACAAAAAAACCATGTGAAAAGCTTTCTTAAATTTTCCACGTTTAAAAATTTGTTTACAAAAAGAAACAATTCAACAAACTATGCTACAAACATTATTTTTGCCATCATCATTATGCTCTTTGACAACGTTCAACCTTTTCGTTTCTTACTTTTTACGTTTTCTGCTTTCTGGTAAAAAGCCACTTGCCGAGGCACTTATGCCTGAATTATGGCCACAAGTCATATTGTTGTTAACTTAAGATTTGTTCAACATGCAACTAAAGACACGATGATGAAATGGCTAAAGAAAATCTTATGCCGTGATTACCGCGTCTGAAAACACAAATGTCATACAAAAGTGCAAAAAGAAGGTAACGACATTGTGATCCTTGTAATGGCAAAGAAGCCATTCAAAGAATATCTAACCTGTTTAAAGCAGGTGTTTTTTTGATATATGTACGAAAGAAAATAATATTTTAATTTACAATTTTTCCTTCGTAGAAAGTGATGTCGTCCTAACTACTTTCTTTTTATGGTTCGCTCTGCACATTTGGATGATAAATCATGAAATAAACTTCAACTCTTCAACCCTTTTTTTTGTTTTTTTATAAATGCGAAGTCTCTTTGTATGAAAACATAGATTCCACGAATATACAAAAAGTTTGAGGTAGATAAAGCAGTTTAGCTTTTATTTTAAAAAAAAAACACAGAAGAGTAGAAGGAGAAGAGAAAATTCCAGCAAGGAAACCTATTTACCTGCCTATATCTCATTCGTTCTTATATATTGAAGAATGTTAAAATTCGTCACTGCACTTGTAATACGGTGCTATTATTATTAAGGTGTACACGAAACGTTTATTTATAATCAGCGCGAAGCCCTTACGCGTTTGACCTCCTTTTATCCATACATTTACTTTGGCATTTATTCAACTACTGATCCGTCAAATCGCATTAAATATCAAATCGCAATATTTTTTCCAAAGAATTAAACACGAGTTAAAGAGAGAAATTTCTCCTTTTAGATGAATGCTTTAACGTGATTTGCTATACCATATAGATTTTTCATTAAATTCTTTTATGAACTTTTTTTTTTATGTTTCTGTAGATATTTTCTTTCTCACTCCTCACGAAAGTACATTGCAAATTCGCTTTATATTTTTCGCAATTCAGTTAGATTATGTCGTTTATGTGCGTACATGAGTGGGATTCCCCTAATTATGCGTCCAGTAAAGACGTAATCCATTGTTTAGGCAATTTGGTGTGGCTTTTCAAATATAATTTGTTTTTTATAATATAATTATTTAATTTTTAATGAACACTTAATGAATTAAAAAAAATATGTAAGCACGAAGAGAATTCTTAAACGAACTCTAACGAGAATTTTTAATTTCTCTTCTACAATTTTTAGCCATTATCTTGTTTTACACGAATTTTTTGGTAGCGCATCTATCGTGCAAAAAGAGAAATTGATGTTTTTCTACACTTCAATACATCAAGTTCTGTTTTCTTCACAAATTGGTTTACCATACACCACAAAAGTTGAAGATGCAAACCAAAGAGGTGGAGGATGCAATTGGATTGAAAGGTTGGTACCATTTCAGTTAAAAATTAAGTTTACCAATTTTTAAGAAAATTCTTCGTTTAAGAAAATTTTTTCGCTTATCCCCTACCTTCTTACTCACTGGCACGCTATGTACTAGCACTTTAACATAAGATCCGAAGTATCTATGTACGCATTTATTAATCTGTCAATAAAATTTTCCTTTGGAAGGAAAGTAAGACCACCTTGCTTAGCGAACACAAGCAATAGTACGCTTCAGGAAGAAGAGCCACCATGTGTTAAAGATTGCTGCTGTAAAATATATTAGTAAATTGTAAATAAATATGAAAACCGTGTGCATAAAATGAGAGATATATAATCTAGAAGCCGGTCATGCCTTTAAATTAATACTACTTTTCTCTTCTAACATATTTTTTGTCATAAATATTCGTACTACTTTCTTAGTGAACTCATTACAAAGAATTGAAACTACAAATGTATATCACACTTTCGGACAAAAAACGGTCAAAACAAAACCATAATTACCATAATTTGTAACCATAGGTAACAATAGCAACTCATCAATTCTCATTTCTTATATATACATATTTCTAGGAAAACAAGTAAATCCACGAAAAATTAAAAGAAAAATACATAAAAAATCGATCATAGGCGTTATTTTTTAAACCCTTTTCGCTAAGAAGTTTAATAGCCTACAAGAAATGTTATAAAGCCACAAAGTAAAACAAGGAGGACGAAAAGAAGAAGATCTCTAGCAACTGCCGGATCTCTGCCAAAAATTGCCCCATTTACTCATACTTACTCGACTCCCTTCTCTAACTGATTTTTTTTTTTTTTTTTTAACTGTAATTTTAATGTAATATGCAATCTGTGCTATTACCTAAACACGTTGATTGTATTTGCCTGCTGTAACAGATAACGTCTGACGTCACTAAACAGTAAGATAAACTAAACATACCCTCAATCTGCAGATAATTGATTTGAAAAAAGAAAAATTACCATCTTAGTAACCTCAGTAACTACAACAAGAACAGCAAAATCTATGGATACCAACTAAACATCGATTTAATTTAGTGTAATAGACTACACTCTTCATTCTCTACAGAAATTTTCATTCCTACAGGTGGCCATGGAAAATGACAAACTCGCTGAAATCAATCAGAAAATTGCTGAAATTAAAAAACGAATACTATTAGCAGGTATTTGACTTTTTCCAATTATCTTCAATTTGATGCCATTTAAAGAACAAATATTTGCTCGCTGGTATACAAACATATAGAAGGACAAAAAACAGCCAACACTGCGGAATGGGAGAAACAGAATGGCATCAATTGTGAAACGATTGCTACATTGAAAAAGGAAATCAAAGCATTGACGATGAAATGCGGTCGTCTAAAGAATCCTTTGCAACGAGCCATCGTTATTAAGGAAATTCTACCGTCAGCAACAGATGGTGAAGCAAGACCGAAATCTTGTGCATTGCCCGCAATCGCTGTGGGTAAAGTTAACTATCCCATTGGAGCCAAAAATGTCAATGATGCCATTTTTCTTACTGATCTCAAAATTACGGAGCATCGCAAACAGTTGGATTTATTGAGACATCGTTTCAAGTGTCGTAAACAACATTTTGCCAAATTGATGCAGCAACATCGCGAAATGTTATCTAACAAAGAGGCAAAAGAACAAAACTTGGGTGAGAAACCACCGGAAACGTTAGAAGAAGATAACAATCGCAAGGTAAACACAACAACCGGTAAAGTGCGCTCATGTCAAATTTTAAATTAAAAGATTGCAAAAATTTACAGTTAGTTTGTCAATTGGAAAATGAAATACATCGTACTAATGTTCGTTGGATGGAAGCGGAACATATACGTAAAAAATATCGTTCCATTGAAGCTTCATTAATGAATGATGCTGAACGATTTGAAAAGAGTTTAAGAGAACTAGAGGCGGCTTTAAATGAGCAACAAAACGAAATCAATCATTTGCAAGTTTGTTAGGATTTCTTATCGCAATGTACAAAATATTTAAACCTAATACTCTTTCTTTCTATTAGAAAGTTCACGCGGAAGCCATCCAGATGAGGGAAGCCGCTAAAGTTATCTTGCAACGTCAAGAACAACAGGCGAATTTATCGCAAAAAACTCGTGAACGTCAAATTTTGGAGTTCCGCCGTCAGGTTGAACAGCGTAAAATCGAATTAGAACGTATTGGTCGGAAACTTTTCGTTGAGGGCAAAACAATTGTACACCAGGATAGCATCGGCTCAAGCACTGGTGAACAAACTACTGCTAAAACTGAAGTCGAAGAGGACGAAAATGCTCAACTTGCGAGTGATACTCAAAATGCGGAAGAATTGCTTAAAAATCTAATGGAAGTGACAGGAGCCACATCGCCTCAGGAAATACTCGAACGTTTTGCTTCACAAAAAGAGTCTGCGGTACGTTTGAATTATTTGCGAAAAGCGGCCGAAATGGAAAAAAGTAATCTGGAGCTTTTAAGGGAAACACTTACTAAGGAATTAGAATCTTCCAAGTTTACCGATGTCAAAGAGAGAGAAGTGTATGTTTAAATTTAAAAAGTTAACTAAATATTCAAATACTTTTTTTTTATGAATAGCAATCAAGAAGTTATTGAAAATATTAAAAGTGAAATAGCTGAACATGAAGCGGAGAAGCAAAAAAATATCGAGACTGCCGAAAAAACTTTGGAAATGTTGAAGTTCATTAAAGAACATTTAAATGAAATGATTTACAAGCTACAGGAAGTAGACGAAACTGATGTCGAGTTAAAAGGCAAAAATTTATTAATAAAAGTTGCAGAGTTGCCGGATTTTTTAATTGATCAGGCCGAAGATCAAGATTTAATTGAGGTGAGAGTATGTGTTTGGACAGGAGTGGCACTCCCTTTTTTCTTTTTCCTGGAAATTTTCAGATTTTAAAGATGAAATTGCAAAAATGCCAACAACGTAGCAAGCAAGAAGAGCCAATTGATAAATTGGATCTCGATATAAGTGTAAGTGGCTTAGCTCACCTGGTAAGAAAATGATCAATAAGTTTCTAGCGTTTAGGAAGAAGATTTTATGATGTCTTTGCAACCACCTAAGACTCCCTCAGTTCAGGAGAGCGAAAAACCGGCTGCTATGCCTATGTGTTATTACAATCTCTTGGCGGGTCGTGCTCAGCGTGCGACTGGAACTTCGTCCTCATCACCTGAGCAGGCTGCAACTACCGGTAAATCTTTTCATTAAGCCAAAGCTCTTATATATAACAAGTTATTTCCCTTTTTTTATCAAAGCTGCCGTTGCCACTGAAGAAGAAAGCGAGGTACCCTCACGTAACTTTCTTAAGCGACAGTCTTGCATTATTGTTGATCAAAAATCGAGGCGTAAACCTTTCCGACCGTCAACAAGTATGCGAAGAAAGTAAATATGAGAAAGATCTCGATCTCGAAAATAAGGC